TTTAAAAAAAAAAAAAAAAAAAAACTCTATTTTACTCATTTTTATTTCTAGAAAATGAGGGCAAAACGGGGGCTAATTTTGTAGAGCTTAAATTGCCTTTTGTTCAATCATCTAATTTTTTTCTTCTAACTCTTACTCACTTTTAGACTTTCTTTTCACTTATGAGTAGAAACAAATAACTTTTTATATATTTTATGAACACAAAATGATATATGGTTAGAGTCGATGACCACATATAAGATGCTCGTAATTCATTCATTCCATTAACATATTCCCAGTGTAAAAATTATATCACCAAATGAATTACTTTAACATTAACTTATTGTATAATACTAAAATTCCCAATTCATTGTTAGAGATTTGCGAGATAATAAGTTTTCTTAATATTTTCAAGTGATATAATGAAGTATTTCTTTGTCACTCTTTATTCTTCAATATCTCATTCACACCTCACGTGCACTCTTTTCACTAGACTAGATAGAGAGGATTTTCCTTTGGACAAAACATGGTCAAAATGTGCATTTGACCCATACAATACTTTGCAATGGTTAAAAAGAAAAAGGTTGCCACGTTTTGAGTTATAGTATTACACCTTTTAATACAATCTTTTATGTTTTTATAGTATCTGTCTGTCCCACCTATACCATCATCGAAAATTCTTACAGGTAATTTTAGGGATCTTTGAACAAGTCTTTGGTCATACCATATTTTATAATAATTAGAGTTTCCTTTTTCTTTTCCTTTATGATAGTGTAGGAGGCTAGTGTCTTACCAATTAAATTTATTTATTTATTTTTTTTTTTTTTTTTTTACAGGTTTTGGGAAGAAAATTTAAATTTCCTTTTATTCCAAGAACTTTTCATGTAATTTTTTTTTAATCGATTGAGATAGACTAATTAAGATGACAATTTTTTGAAAATGTTTGTACTAGTCAAAGTTTTGTCGATTTGTGCACTCTAGTGGCAATTGAAGAAGAACTCCATTTGGCGTATAGAATTTCTTGTACAAGGGTATTAAAGAATACACACAATGGGGGTAGATGGATATTTGTTTGATAATATTTTACTCACATGGGGTTCATCTACATGTGAGTATTCTGGTTCCATTCACTAATGCATTAATGCTCCGAAGAAACTAAAAGTGTTCTTGCAAAAAGCAACAAATAAGGCCAAACTCATGCAAAGGTAAGGCCAAACTCATGCAAAGGCCAAATAAGGTGTTCTTGGTAACGAGTGGCTTGGGGAGCCCGCCCCCTATCTCGCCAGGCATTTTTCCACCTCGTTACCTATTTAAGGTTAGGGGAAGGGTGGATCGCGTTGGGGAGGGGCGGGGTGTTTGCCCAATTCTATACCCGTTTATTTATTTTTATTTTTTTTATAATTCATTTTATTGCCTCAATTCATTCAAGTGGGACAATAATATATTTATAAAATTTTTAATTAATTTATTTATTTTTAAAATTTAAATTATTCCAATATATTTGGTAAACTAAGGTTTTTATTGTTTATCATATTCCTTAGATAATCTTAGTTGCCATCTTCTATTAGAATTAATGAAATATCGTGGAGTTTTTCTACTTAAAGTATTGAATTCTTTATAATAATAATAATAAAATAATTAATTTGGGGTGGGAGTTGGAGTGGGAGTGGGGCGGAGCCCTGTTACCCATACCCGCCTTGGGGCAGCCCCATACTGGATCCCATTACTAGATGAAGCGGGTAATCCTTGCTCCGGACCCATGGATATCGGGTTTGACTGGTATTTTTATCATCTCTAAATACTACCACACATTTATAAATGGATGCAAGACCATAGAAATTGTGCCAGGATATGAGGTTGTTTCTTTCTGTCACTAAATTCAGTTTAACTTGGAGTCTGTATTATATACAGAAATCATAGTCGCATCATTACTGCTAATTTTAATTAACATTGTAAAAAAAAGGTAGTGCTATGGATGCTGGGCTAGCTATATATTTATGTTTTAGGTGGGTAATTGTTTTTACCCTAAAATATATATATAATAAGCACGAATAGTTGTTCCCGATCGATCACATGGAACCCAACTTCCCTTTTTTTCTTCTGCATGGATTCAACCCAGGTGGTTTCGGAAAAAGCTGAGGGAGTTTATCGTTTGAATTTAATTCTACTTATAATTGGATGCACATGGCCTTAGATTATCTCATTTTTTTGCTTTGCCTTTTACAATCTGCTCAACGTAAATATTTTCAAATCAAGCATATATAAATATGAGTTGTTCAGTCAACTCAGCCCGTGTTTGGTGAAAATTGATATTAGATCTTTGCTAGATTTTGATAAAAGTTGATGAAATAAGTGATTGAAAAGTTGTAACTCCGGCAAATGGCTAAACTTATTGTAGAAAATGAGCTTAATTTCACTGCATCGATAAGAAAAATAAAAATAACTGCTAGCAAACAATGTTGTATGCATGTATCAGAATGAAACTCCATATAATCATTAGGGTAACGAGGTCAATGATTGCTGGCAATCCATCCCAAATTATGATTGAATCACATATTGAACAATGATGAGATGCAGTAGTCTTCCTGCTTAGACGTGCGAAAAGTTTTCAAGAGATCTCAATGCATGCTTATATATGAATGATTATACGTAATCTTTACATCAATTATATTAACTGATGAAAATTTCTCAAAGGCATGGCTAAATGTACGTTAATTATTAGCATGAAATCCTATATATGTTTTAGTTTTCTGATTATTGCCTTATAATTTATTCGTCATTTAAGAGAAAGGAAAAAACGTAACTTGAAACCAAAGGTTATTGTCAACTTAATTACAAATACTACAATAATGACAAACAAAATGTGAACTTCTGAAACTGTTTTTTCTATTTATTATGCAAATTTAATTTTGTAATTAAAGAGAACGTTGATATAGAAATTATGGCACTCGAATAAGCATATGGCTATAATGATGAATGTGATCCATGATCAAATGAGTTTTTTTAGGACCTTTAGAAATTGATGGCCCTCCATTCTTATATAAAAATTCTTTAACATTAACTATAAAAATAATTATCCTAATTATCACCTCCCTATTTAAACAGCTCGAATGCAACGGCTTGAACCACAAACAAATGAATTAAAGAGAGCTAGCTCTCTCACTCTCTCTCGCACAGACACACACACAGACATTGCTGCTGTCAGGAAATCTCACTTTTCATCTGCCTCAGAGAGAAAAATATAGGATCGACTCAGAGATTATCTTACTGTTATAATTATATCCGAGTTAAGTTTAAGAATAGCATATATGGATATTGCCAGCAACTCAAATACAAACTCTCCTTCTCCATCAAAGAATAAAAAGAAGACCAATCAGCAAGAATCAACAACCAGGTTTCTTGGGGTCAGAAGACGGCCATGGGGAAGATATGCAGCAGAAATAAGAGACCCTTCCACCAAAGAAAGGCATTGGCTTGGCACTTTTGACACCGCAGAGGAGGCTGCCTTGGCCTACGACAGGGCCGCGCGCTCAATGCGTGGCTCCAGAGCTCGAACAAACTTTGTCTACTCGGACATGCCTCCTGGTTCCTCTGTCACTTCCATTGTGTCCCCTGATGAATCCCAACACGATCTCTCCGCCCTTTTTGCCCATTCGAAACTATCTGACACTTCAACCGACCAACTACTGTTCTTTGGTCAGAATGATCTTATAAATGCGAGTCAGTTTCCAAGCAGCTTTCAGTTCTCTGAGGACACCTGGAATCAAAGCAGCTGCAGTAGCAATAACACTAGTTTATTGCAAGAGGATCTGCAGGTGACGACTAATAGTACTGCAGGTGCATTTCAACCGTCGTATACGGATGGGACTGCTGAACTTCCACCATTGCCACCGGATATTACGAGCAGCTACTCCTACTCGGGCGAGCCACCAGTGCTTTCAGAGCTGGGATGTGGAGTTCTGAATGAAATGAGTTTTCTCGAGTTTTCCGAGCAGCAGACCATGGCTGGATCTGGATACGACATGGGGGCATACCTGGGATCCAACTCACAAAATGATGCCTCGGATGGGTTCAGAAACAATTTCTCCAGCTACGGATGGTTTTAATTTTTAAAGGTCTTTTCTTAAATAAAGTTATTTTGTTGGTAAAATGTCTTTGTTTGGATTTGCTTAGAAGGATGTATCAGCATCATCCGTGGTTATATTTTCTTTTCTTGTCTTTTCTGATTTGTATTTCCTTCCTTTTAATGCATGACTGCCCCAAGTTATGAATTATTTTGTTAAGCTTGTGCAATGCAAAGGTTTTTACGTTAAAGACTCGAATGGTAGAGGGTGTAAGTGTTATGCCCTAGGTCCAATCAATCTTTGACATAAATACTTTTGATATATAATTAATGCAATTTAATGGCATATCTATTATTTAATTAATAGACAATTAAATTAAATAATAGAATCCGTAGATTCAAATTTTCGTAATTTGCTAATCACAAGGAGTTGTGATTGTGAGATAAAAATTACATATGATTGAATCTTAAATCATCCGTGGTTATAAGTAATAACGAGATACGGATATCGTTATTACGGATAGACCATCACGTGTGGCATTTCTTACTTGTGAAGTA